TGTGCTTTCTTCCCTCCAATCAAAGACAAGATGTTTGGAACACACATTTAGTACAGTGGTTAGGATGCCCACATCTCATGATGGAGCAGCTGGGCTCAAGTTGCAGCTCTGCTTCTGACTCCAGCTGCTAACACACACTCTGGGAGGCAGTGTGTGATGTCTTAAGTAAGTAGGCCCTTTCCACACACATGAGAGAATCAAGCTGAGATTCCAGCTTATTCTTGGCTTTAATCTGAGCCAGCCCTGGCTGTCATAGCAATTTGGGGGATGAAACAGCAGAGAGAAGATCTCTCTCCCCGTGTGTGTGTGTGTTCATGTCTCTTTGTGTCTCTCTTTCAATGTTTCAAATAAACAAATCGATAGATATTTCATAAAGCATGGATAGGTGATGCTGTGCATTTTCTGTGCTGCACTATGAAACAATTCTCTGTTTGCGAGACTGTTTGGTGAGATATGAAATCTTTGCCCTTGTCATTTGAGAACATATTTTGAGAGCTTGCACAAATAATTGTAAAGACATATTTTTTAAAAAACTGTAGTCTGCTTGAGCCCTATTCACTAAAGCTCGTACTAGTATGTGGTACTTAATTGTTTTGCTATATTACACCAACTTACTAGCTGTCTCACCCTCATAATACAATTTTCCAACTCCCAGTAAAACTGATAGCCCCGATTGGGCTGGCATTGTAGCGTAGTGGGGAAAGTAGTGCTGACATTCCATATGGGTGCAGGTTCAATTCTTGGATTTGCCACTTCTGATCTGACTCTGCTAGCAAGTCAGGGAAAACATTGGAAGATGGCCCCAGACCCTGGACCTCTGGACCTGTGTGAGAGGTCTGGAAGAAGTTCCTGGGTCTTAGCTTCAGACTGGTCCAGCTCTGGCCATTATGGAAACGTGGGGAGTGAGCCAATTAGTGGAGGCTCTCTCTCTCCCTTTCTGTAACTCTGATTTTCAAGTAAACAAATAAAGCTCTGAAATAAATAATTGTTATTTATTTATCATCAATAAATATTATCATTGATAAGTAAATTGATAACAGGTTACTATAAAAATGCATGAAAATCCCCCATTCACCTCCCTCAACTTATCTATGATTGGCTTTTACCTTGCTTCTGTGTGTACTAAGCTCTCTTGCGTGTACTTCCTTTGAGCAGGTGATGAACAAATAACATCCTGATGGGCTTTACAGCCCTGCAAGTCTAAATCCTAATGGGCTTCTCTGTCTTATTACTTTCCCTTATTCATAGATGGGTAGCTTCCCCCTCTTCCCTCTCATCTTTAAAGTCTTGGTGACATGAAAAACAAGGACCGGGCCAGTTGTGTTTTGGTATCGCAGGTGAGTCACCATAAGAAAGCCGTAACATGTCCAGAAGGGTTTGGGATGGAAGCAACAGGCTGGGAGTTGACACAGCTTTCCCGTGTGAGTGTCAGACACCCAGCTACTTAAGCCTGTCTCACACTCAAGCATCTCCATATAGGGTGAGGTCATCTTGACAGGCCAAATCCCACAGAATTTTTAAGTTAATCTTAACAATATCTGCAATTGGCTACATCTGCTCTGAGGTACTGCCAATGATCTTCTAATTTTAATATTTTAGGAGACTCAGAGTTTTAACACTGCTAAAAAACTTACATGCAGTGTCTAACTTGAATGGAGTCTTAAAAGCACACAGAAGGCAAAATTGCAAAACATGCAACATAGATAGATTAGGTCATTTTCACTTAGCAGACATTTTCTGTCAGGAAAGCCAAAGCACAAATGTAAGATTGAGCTTATGGATGAAACTAAAGGAATTAGTGAGACAAGGAACTAAAGGAGTTAGTGAGACAATGGCAATGGCTGTTGTCCCTGGAGCAGTTTACTGTGGCCTGGCCCACTCAGTTCCTGTTGGGAAGATGACTGCATGTCCCTGGGATGTTCGTCATAAACCTGTGCATATGCTACTCTGCATGGTTAGAGCTCAACCATAAACTGTGGAGACCATTCCTCCTCCAGGGGCACATTTTTAAAAAGCTAGCAATTGAAATTCACTTAAAGAATCCATCAAATATCTTTTGAATTTTAATGGGATAGATTTTGACTATGCTTATTTGAGACAGATTTATCACCAGATTGACCAACGCATTAAAAAAAAAAAAGATAGGGACTTTTTTTTTCTTTGCTGCAAACTTGAGCCCTTTTAACTTCACGATTGCAGCACAAACTGTGTAAGAAACCAAGAATGTGTTGGTAACAAGAAATATTTAAGATGAACCCATAGCATTTTGGCTAATCCTTCAACAAAGTTCTAGTTTCCAGCACTGCAAGGATGTAGATTTCTGCTTGGATGACATGGATTTAAGTGTGTCGTGATTAAACTGCTCGGAATTTGGTAGTATTATTAGCCTTAAGCTGGGATTGTTCAAAACTGTATCTCATTAAAGTAAAACTTGCTGGCTGGATCAATGGCTTTCTTCCATAGGTTCCATGGAGACCGTGTTTATTCGTGCATTTTGATACCTGTTTTGAATCCACTTCTATCAAAAGGAGGCCTTGGAGGATTAACACAAAATGCTTAATTTAAATACCTCCAAATTCTGACAGCATTCATCTTCGAAATCTCACAGGCATCAGATAAATACGAGTCTTGAGCCTTCTGAATTGATGTGAAATGATGCTGCAGTAAATATATGTAAAAGGCAAATCCAGGAAAGATGTGTGGCTGAGAGAACAGAGAGGAAGTCCCCAACCAGTTAACCAGGCCCTTTTTAGTTGGGTGCCTTGGTTTCGGGGCCTCTCTAGGATGTGGTTTCTTCAGCGTAGAGCTGATGTAGATAAGAACCATGTGAGGACCAGTAAAAGGGCAGACTGCAGACATTTAAAATGAGTTCCTCCTCCTCCTTCCCCATGTTAAGGTCTTGCTTTTCATGCCTTTGAGGGAACAGACGTATACCTGTTCAAGTCAGAAATGGTTTATGTCTTAACCCCTCAATCCGGTAAACATGTGTCACTGAGAAAAAAGTTTCAGCTGATTATATTTGTTTATCATGTTATGCACCGTTACTCATCTGTCTCTTCTGGGGGTGTGTGTTAGTTATTTAAAAAGGGTTAGAGTTATTTAAGACAGTTTGAGTTCTAGTTCATAGGATATTACCATATTATTATGCGCAGCTAATTCCCGCAACCTGGTTCTTTACCATGGGCTAAAAACACCAGATGCAAGGAGGTATCTTAGGAGGTTTATTTCAGCAGGGAAGGAATGGGGTGGAGGTGGTGGAGAGAAAAAGGGCAGAAGGAAACACCTGGGGCCTTTTTTGCAGGTAGGCCCACAAGGTGTGTGTGGGGTGGAGATTGGGAGGGTTTGAGGGCAGGCCCCAGTGGATTAGTGCCTGCAGGTGAATGCCTGGAGGTGATTGGTGAGTGGGTGCGATTGGGGAAGGGGCTGGAAGATTGGGGGTGTGATTCTCAGGTGGAATGCTGGGTTCCATCTGATTGGTGGATGGCTAGACTGGCGCGAATTTCATGAGCTGTCAGGAAGAAGGAATGGCACCAGGCAGGGTACCAGTCTCCGTGATGAGCAAATCGCTCCTCACAGTGTGCATTATAAGGAGAGGGATATTTATCATTTTTTAAAACTCTTTCTTGCCTTTCAAGCCCCTGGAAGAGTGGAGGAGTGAATGGTAACTGCCTTCACACCCAGCGTTTGTCTTTGTTGTTTCACAGGTATAAATCATGTACATATACCTAAGAGTTGATGACTTCGTGTAGGACATTGTGACCCTAGAAGGTCAGCGGGCACAGGATTACAGTTGATTGGAGAATATCTGTGTGATAACAACCCAATGGCTACCTTTTGTATAACTGATTGGATATCATTTGTATGAGACCAGTTGAGTGGACAGCATGTGAATGGGAACACTTGGTGGAATATACAAAATAAAAGGAGTTCCAAACAAAAGTATAGAAACTAGTTGATGGGTTTTGTTGATAAGCTCAGTACTTCCTCCCTTATCCCATATGACCCTCAGTGTGTGAAGTCTGATGCCACTCATAAACTTAGGCTTTTGACCATCAGTCAGAGTCCACGCGTGTTATGATCGGCCGTGCACCAAGTCCACCACTGTGAGACAGCGACACTTCATTTTTTCAAGTTTTTTTTTAAATTTCTTATTTATTTGAAAGAGACAGAAAGAAATGGAGTTACCTTCCATCTGCTGGTTCACCCCCTACACGCTGCAGACAGGGCTCAAGGCCAGGCAGAAACCAAGGGTCTGGAATTGGTTTGTGGAGTTAGGGCACCACCTCCTTGAGCCATGACCGGTCCCTCCCAAGCTGATCTGTAGAAGGCACTGTGGGAAGCTAATTGGACTTGGCCTTGGGCATTCAAATAATCAACATCTGATGCAATATTGTTGATGTCACCTACACGGCCTTTTGAGTTTCTTCATGTCTATTCCTTCTGTTTCAATTCCACTGCTTTCAGGGAACAGGTGGTGCTGTTGGGATATGAATGATGGTACGAGGTGAGTCAGGATGCATGGTGGGGTTGCATTTCAGTTTCTAGGGTCAACTGCACCCTGAGTTTTCTATTACACCTGTGCCTGCCAGAGTCTAGACGTTAGCCTGCTTGTGTGTTAAGAACAAGGGAGGAAGGAGATCCACAGTTTGCTGGCTTGTAGGGGGTCCTGATGCCCGTGTGTTTACCAGCTTTCCTGTCAGCACGTAGGGGGAGCCCTGGGATCCACACTTCCAGCAGTTCTGGCTGGCTGTTTCTGGCCTGGCCGGGGGTCCCCAGGGAGTTCTTCCCGCGGCGCTGGCAGGGACTGCGGTGTTCTCCGGGCGTGGCCCGGCAGCCCTTTGGCCGGCCCCATGGGTCGCCCCCATGGGTCGCCCGTGAGGTGAGGACTCCGGCTGAGGGAGGAGCAGGTGAGGCGCCTCAGGCTGCGGGCGGCGTGCTCCCGCACGGGGGCGCTGCCACCTGCCCGGGGGCGCCGGGGGACGGGGCGGAGCCAGAAAGCAACCTGGGGTGTTGTGTGTGTGTGGTGTGTGTTTTAAGCGGCTCCGGCGCGGGACTCTAGAGAACCAAACCCAACATGAAGGGCGCCGAAGGCATCGAAAACCCGGCGTTCGTCCCCTCCAGCCCGGACACCCCGCGTCGCTCGTCCTCATCGCCCTCTCAGGTGCAGGTTTCTGGCGTGACCCCCGACGGCCTCAGAGAAGATCCGGATTCGCAGGCACAGGAGGACAAGTCCCCCCAGGAATCGTCGGGGCCGCCGCCAGGCGCGCCCCCGGCCTCGGCGGCAGAGCCTCCTGGGTCCCCGTCGCTGTCCGAGTTTGAGGAGGGGCCGTGCGGCTGGGGAAACTTCCACCCGCGCTTTCTCCAGCGCTGCAACACGCCGCGGGGCTTCCTCCTGCACTACTGCCTGTTGGCCCTCACGCAAGGTAAAGTCCAGCGCCTGGCTCCAGGGCTCCGGGGGAGGAGGGCGCGGCAGGTGCCTGGGCGACCCCGCGCGGGGCGAGGACCACAAACAAGTGCAAACCGGCGGTACCGGGCTTTGCTGAGGCGGGTGCCGCCGGCGTGCTCCTCCCCACTGGAGCCTGCCTTTGGGAACCCCAGGGGTGGGAGGAGTGGGTCCCTTTTGCCTGGTGCAAGCCCCCTTCCCGGGGTTTGGGGGAGAAATCCTTGTTTCCAGAGGAGTCACACGGGAGCAGATGCATCCATCAGCACCAGAGGATAAAATAAACACATAATAGACCCGCTCAATAAAAATCCGTCCTGTGAGCGAGATGCACACGCTCTTGGTTTGGAGCAGTCGTGTGTGTGTGTGTGTGTGTGTGTGTGTGTGTGTGTGTGTGTGTGTGTTCGTGTGTTCGTTCAGACTCTGCCTCCCCTCCACTCCCCCCCACTCCACCCCAGGGCAGCCCCCAAGTCGAGGCTGCAGCTAGTGGAGCTGAAGGGTGCCAGGGTGCTGCCCTCAACCTCCTGTGCTACAGGAGGACGCTGGATTTGTTTTGTTTTAAGTTCTCTTTTACTTTCTCCTCCTTCGCCCCGGGGGAATCACCGGGTGAAATCAAGGTTTAGACCCCCGGGGGAATTTGCAAGAGGGCTGGTCCAGTGAAAGGAGGCTGGCTTCCTGGAAAGTGAAGTAGAGACGGGTGGAAGCAGTGAGCAATGGGGAACAGGGAGGCGTGCATGGAGAGGTGGGCATGGAGTCCTGCACTGGCCAGGGAGTTACTGTGTATTTGCTAGGTGGTACTTTAGGTCGCTTGGATCATTCTCTCAATATCTCTTGTAAAAACAAGCCATGGGCGATCTGATTCAGGGAAATGCAGCCCAAAGTATCTTTTGGGGAGAGGACTTGGGCTTGGAAAATGCTGTCTCTCTCTCTTTCAAATAAAGTTATTATGCAAGCAGATCTTTCTGAATTTGCTAAGAAAGTAAAAACAAAATGTATACTGCTTGTTCTTATTCCTCCCCAAGGCACCCTGGCTTTGCAAATGTTAGCTGCTCAGGACCTATTTGCTGGTCTGCTGAAGGTGGATTTTTTTTCCCCCCAGCAAAGTTCAGCCAGTTACTGCCTGGATGTCAGTTGTCCAGAATCAGTGACCATGGGAAGTTCAAAACGTTAAACACTTAGTTTAAAAATATCCTGGGTTTAATCAAAGTTTATTCTAGAATTTCTGTTATCCCAAACACATCATTTTATGTTCAATATAAAATATTAGTTCATTGCCAAATGTAACTGGTGATCTTAGACCAAAAAAAAAAAAAAAAAAAGAAAGAAAAAGAAAAGAAAAGAAAACTTTGGCTTTGGCCTAGAGTAGCATCTACCCAGAGGTTATCAATAAGCAATTCGCATCCTGTATGAAAGTGATAAGATCTGTTAGTTCACCGGTTGGTTCAACTTTCGAATGACTGTTTCACAAGCATGGTTCTTAGGAAGCAGTTTCACTGTCTGTTAACAGACATTTTAGAAGAAAAGCAAAATCACATCACATGAATTTGCTTTATTTAAGCCAGCATTTCTCAAAGACAGAAGAGGTTTCTCTTAGCACTGACTTTCCCAAAGTGCACTCTGTCTGCCTGTGTTAACAACAGAGATATAATTTGTGGTATTTAGTAGTTCTTATTTTTTTTTTTAATTGGAAAAGCAATGCTATGGGAAAGTGCATAGTTATAGAATTCACTTTGTGATCCATAGGATTAGAATGCTCTTAAAAGGACTTCAAATTCAGCTTTTCAAAGAGAAGTTTTATCATCAAGGCAATGCCAGATGTTTAATCAGTATGAAAGGTGTTTTAGGAAATTGACCTTTCCAGTGGAAAGATTTTCCATAGCATCATGTAATTCCACCTCCTTATTAAAATGTCATTTTTGGTGCTTTTTGTTTACCTTGAAATACCAGAATTATAAATTGGTTTATAATCTTATTATACTAACACAGAAGTCATGTTGGGACTTTTCCAAATGGCTATGCTAACTTTCTTGAAATATGTTTTCAGATTCAGTCTTGGTAAAGCACCATTTAAAGAAATTGTAGAGATTATTGTGTCTGGGTACTTGTACCCATTACTAATACATGAAAGCAATTCATGGTGTTAAAGTAAAGGGAATACTGAGCGAACATGTGGTCAGAGGTGTTTTGTTTTCAGTTTATACCCTTGTTTGAACTTTTGTGTTATTTATGTACAGACTTGCATTTTGAAATCTGTCCAGATTGGATTTTTAGTGTCTCCTTGAATACTTTCTATTAAACTTTCATTGCAGGTATAATAAGCAGATAAAATATGTGTGTTGTTCTTTTACGTCTTATGTAAAAGGTCTTCTTTATTTACTTATTTATTTGAAAAGCAAAGTGTGAAACACACATACACACACGCACACACACTCACACCCCTGCCATCCACTTGCTGATTCTCTGTCCAAATGCTCACAACACCTAGGTTTTCCACATAGGTTAGAGGCACCCAAGTGCCTGGGTGCTCATTGGCAGGAAGCTGGATAGGAAGTAAGGCAGCAACTTGACCGAGACACCGTTGGGGATGCTGGTGTCCCACGCAGTGTCTACCACTGTGCCGATGCTTGGCCCCTCCTCTACTTGGCCTGTCTTTAAATGCTAGCGGGAGAAATGACTCTTCATTTACTTTTGTTCAAAGATTTTTAAGTGATAACTGTGTAAGAGTGTTTGGAAAAAAAGTTTGTGTTAAGATAAGAAAGGTAGAGAATGCGGTTTTTTTCCTTTTTGAAATGAAGTCAGGATGATCTGTGATAGACAGATGTGCTCAGGGCTTGAGTAACTTGGAAAGTATTGGAGCATGGCTGTATCTGGTATCTTTTGTGCTCTTCCCAGTGAATTACATAGGAATACAGCATGTTTGATATCTAGCAAACTGGCTTCATGGCACTGTAATAGTCTGGCTTTGTGCATGTTGTTTTAAGAGAAATAAAGTGAGGCCATTTAAATATGTAATTCGAAAAGCATACTGTGTGTCAAAGGAGTATGCTTGGGTTGTTGAGCTTTGAAACTTTTAAAATGGCCATAGTTAAGACAGAGTTACAGAGAGAGGGACACACACACACACACACACACACACACACACACACACACACACACACAAGCTTTCCACCTACTGGCTTACTTCACTCAAGGCCACAATAGGCAGTACCGAGCCAGGCCAGTTCCAAGAGCTGGGAACTCCATTCTCAATCTCCTTCGTGGCTGCTTTCCCAGGATCATTAATAGGGAGCTGGGTTAGAAGCGGAGCTGCTGACACTTGAACCAGACTCTTCAAGGGATGCCACTGTTGCAAGCAGAGGTTTGAGACACAGTGCCACAGAGCTGCCCCCGGTGCATTGTGTTAAACACCATACTGTGGGTTGCGAGTTTGCTGTGTTGTACACACACCTCGTCTGCTCTCTTTCAGGTATCGTAGTCAATGGCCTCGTTAATATCAGCATCTCCACGATTGAGAAGCGCTATGAGATGAAGAGCTCTCTGACTGGCCTAATATCATCCAGCTACGATATCTCGTTCTGCGTGCTGTCCGTGTTTGTCTCGTTCTTTGGGGAGAGGGGACACAAGCCCAGGTGGCTGGCCTTCGCCTCCTTTATGATAGGACTGGGAGCACTCGTATTTTCCTTGCCACAGTTTTTCAGCGGACAGTATCATTTGGGATCCATTTTTAAAGGTAAGAGTTTCCATGTGTTTTTTCATGTCTTGAAGTGGCAAACGAGAAGATGAGCTTTATGTTGAAATTCACTGTAGAACAGGGTGAGGAACCAAGCCGTGGCTGCTCTTGGCTTTGTTGGTCATGTGGACTGTGTGAGGAAGGAACTTAAAGGTGACTGTGTGCTATTCGTTGCAACAGCAGCTCTCCTGGTTTTTAATCCTCCGCTTCTGTTCCCTGAAAAGAGATGATAGTCTCTCGGTGGAGGGTGGTGTGATTCCCCTGGGTGCTGAGAGCTGCCGTGCTTCTTTGTGTGGCTCTGTGTGTTGTGCTCATGGTTCTGTGCCCTGGAGGTTCATTCCTGATCTAACAGACAGTGGGGAGGGCTGGCCTTCGCTGGACGCCCACTTCTTAAGCACTGAGACCCACGCGGCCCGGCCATGGTGTAGACACAAGCTTCGAAGCAACATTCAGTGTTGTTCTAGTTACAGGAAGCTGTCTGTTCTTAAAGGGTTCAGAAAGAAAAATTTGAATATTTAAGTTTTTCAAAAAATCATCTTTAATGGGGAAAAAATGGCCATCACATAGCCAGGGTATTGTGCTAAAGGAAGTGGTCTGTATTATTTTTATGGCATTCCTGGGAAAGGTGATTACAAACCTAGAAGCCTTTGAGGGTTCTCAATGAAGAGAAGGTTTAGAGTAAGGAGAGAAGGGACAACTAGAAGTTGTTGCACTTTAAGCATTATTTTGATTTTCAATTTTTGCACTAATACTAAAATCTAAGTGATAATTTCTCCCAGGATCATTTTCCCATTTTATAGAATAATAAGAAATAAGAAAAGGTATTAATGTGAGATGTTAATAGGAGAAATGGAATGAGGGATATATGGAAACGATTATTATCTTGCACTCTTGCTTTGTAAATCTAAAACTATTCTGCAGTAAAACATTTAAAGTGAAACCAACAACTTCTCAGAAGTATCAAAACCACTCAAGGAGCACCCTTGGAACATTCTTCCCCATATCGGGGTCTCTACCATGTCATTAAAGGACTGTTCTCCTCCTACCCGTGCCGGTGTGCTGATGGAGTTAGACAGAATGGGGTGGCTCCCCCTTGTTCTGCCCTGTGAACACTGCAGGAAATAAACAGCGAACAGACAAAAGACTGAAACATGGATTCCACCCACCTTCCTTCATACCTGACACTCCCAACCCAAATTAGAGGCCCACACGGGCATGTGTCATTCTCTTTATTAAAAAGAAAAGAAAAAAAATTTGAAAAGAAAAAGAAAAAAAATAGTTGAATATTCTCAACAGCATGCATCTACTCTGCAGGATGGTCTTAGACAGTTATTAGTATGTAGAATTTATTGTAGAGGTAGAAATAGAATACTCAAGCAGTTGGGTGAAAAGAGGGGATTTTTAAAAGTATGGCCAAGGAATTTGGACTGACTAAGATAAGGGGAATATGTTATCAGTGCAACAAATGCTTATGTAGATTCAAGTACAGTAGCCAAGACTGAACAGACTACACAAACCAAATCTAACACAGTTTTACTGGGGCTGCTTTCAGGAACAAGTCACTCAGGGCAGTATCTGCTTTAATACATCACTGTTAACATCTGAATGGTAATGGAAATCTTAACTGCCGCATGAGAAAACGTGTCGTGGAACTAGGACACTGAAAATGTTCTGGGATTCCAGCATGTGGGTACTAATCTGTGTGGTGCATCTAGTCCTTTGCTCCACACTGTAATGCTGTGTCCCTCCCTCTTGTTTTCAAGGTAAACAAAGAAGCTTTGCTCCAAATTCTCTGTCTAAACTCAAACATAAACATCTCTTCCAGTACAGAAGCCTTATCCTTCTTGAGCTTTCCCAGCCCCATCTAACTGGAATGACAGCCTCCTTGAACAGTTGATTTTTCCCAAAGGGAGATGGCCACAGGTCAAGTGAGGTGGCTAGCCAGAGACAAAAGCTAAGGTCAAGGACATTCTGTAGTCCATTTATGACTGTGCAGGTTGTTATTCATTCTCTGGTATTTTTAGTACTTGATTGAAATAGACTGGATAAGACAGATGGCTGAATTGTAAAATTTTCACCAGAAATAAACTGATTCCTAAGCTGACCGATGGTGTATCTGTGACAAATGAAAGGGGAAACGCAGGTTGTGGTTGTTATACTTCTGTTCATGTTGTGAAGGTTGGTCAGCGAGCACCGTGCACTTGGTGCTTGGAGAACAGTCCATTCCCTTTGCATGGGAGTAGATGCACGATGAATAAGCACACAGGAAATTGGCGATTGGGATGGGTGAATGTAGGAAGCAAATAGTATGAAGTACTGGCACACAACAGCGTAAGCAGGTGAGCCAGTGACCAGTGGGTAACGAGGGATCAGCTTTGAAAAACTTCAACTTTGAAAAACTTTGCGGACTGGAAAAGAATGGGGTTAAGGGTTTTGGAATAGGGAAGAGCTTGGTAGAATTTGGGAACTGTCTGTTTTGGCTAGCATCGTGAAACCACAGAGAGTGTGGTGGAAGGTGAGCTTGGAGAGATAGACCTAAGGAGGGGGCATTGAGGTGCTGCCTGCAGTACAGTGCGGATCATGGGCCACTTTTACACAGGCATTGCATGATTTTATCTGTGTCTTAAAATGATCATTGTGGCTTCTGTAATTCAAAAAGACAAGATTTGCAAATGGCAAAATTTCTTCCCTTGGATGGCTGAATACCATCCTGTGGCATATTGCCACGTTATCTTTATTCATTCATCGGTGAATGGATTGACACTTAGGTGGCTGTTGTGAACAGTGCTGCAGAAAACATGGAATGTAGATGTCTCTTTCACAAAAGGACTTCATTTCCCACTCAGGAGGGGGATTGCTGGATCATATGGAATATTTCCCATCTTATATCTGCAGCAAAACATAACACAGGGCTCCATAGGTATGTATTTTTCACATTTTAGTTACTTTTGCAAAATAAACATTTCATGAAAAAGTTAATGGAAAGGGCTTGGCGCAGTAGCCTAGTGGCTAAAGTCCTTGTCTTACACGCATTGGGATCCCATATGGGCACCAGTTCTAATCCTGGCAGCTCCACTTCCCATCCACCTCCCTGCTTGGCCTGGGAAGGCAGTCGAGGATGGCCCAAAGTCTTTGGACCCACCACCATAATGGGAGACTTGCAAAGGGCTCCAGATTCCTGGCTTTGGATTGACTCAGCTCTGGCCGTTGAGGCCACTTGGGTAGTGAATCATCGGACGGAAGATCTTCCTCTCTGTCTCCCCTCATCTAGCTTTAGAATTTAAAAAAAAAAAAAAAAAAAAAAAAAAGAGGTAGTGTTGGGAAGATACCACACAGGAGAGTTTCCTTCTTCTTTTTTTAAGGATTTGTTTATTTTTAATGAAAACTCAGATATACAGAGAGAAGGAGAGACAGAGAGAAAGATCTTCCACCCACTGATTTACTCCCCAAGTGGCCACAATGGCTGGAGCTGAGCCGATCCGAAGCCAGGAGCCAGGAACTTTTTTCGTGTCTCCCATGTGAGCACAGGGTCCCAAGGCTTTGGACTATCCTCTACTATTTTCCAGATCATAAGTAGGGAGCTGGAAGGGAGGTGGAGCAGCTGGGAACGAATAGCTGCCCATATGGGATCCCAGAGCATATGTTGCTAGGACTTTAGCCACTAGGCTACTGCTCTGGGCTGAAGTTTTTTCCTTTTTTTAAGGATAATTTTTTTCTGATAAAAATTTTTTCTTATTTATCTGATGAAACACAGAGTGTGAGAGAGAGTGAGGGAGATACACGGAGGGATCTTCTGTCCACTGGCTCACAACTCAAATTCTCACACCAACCAGGATCTGGCCGGGCTGTGACAAGGAGTCGGCAGCTCCCTCCAGGTCTCTGACGTGGATGACAGGAACTCAGGGTCTTGTGCCATCATTTGTTGCTTCCCAGGAGCATTAGTGGAAAGGAAAATGGGAAGCGTAAGTGGGTCACAGACACAGGACTCAGTTGTCGCCGGCAGCGGTTTGATCTGCAGACCCCAACATCTGCCCTAGGAGGCTCATTATTTCTAGGGCAGGTGAGGGGTGGGAGTGGGTGGCCTGAGCTGGGGGCGTAAAGTTCTTGAGTGTGATTATCAGCCTGTATTAGAAGGAAAAGAAGATCCTTTATGAGGAATGGCTGTGAAGGAGGAATGAGTAATGAATTCTTGGTATTTGGCTTAACTATTGTGAATTTTACTAAATATGGAACTCTAGATTGGACAGAATTGGGAGTGGAATTTAAGAATTCATAGTTGAAGTTGTGGGGTATGAACTACATACTACATTGTAGCCTGTGTTGCTATGTAGTCCTTGAATATATTCATGTAAATATGCAAGTTATTCAATAGACATGATTCCTAGAAGTGCAAATACTGGATTTGAGGGGCTCCCTCATTCTAACCAAATGTGATTTATATATTTATTTATTTTTACTTTATTATTATTAATATAATTTTATGATACAGTTCCATAAGCCCTTGGATTTCCCTCGTCCCCTCACAAAATACCCCCTCCCACTGAGTTCCCCTTTATTATTACTAACTATTGTATAGTTCTTCATAAACAGTCGTATGTCCATCATTACAGGCATGGACAATGGCAGAGAGTCCGGCATCCTATTCTCAAGATATAGCTAACAGCTTCATTGTGAGTCTGTCTTTGATCTGAAACTAGAGTTAGGAAGAGGAAGAAAAGTAGCTTTGAATGCAGCTTGAATTTTCTATTGTTCTGTACAAAACATATTTTAGTCGGTTTAAGAGAAAGGCTTATTTTTAGGAGAGACTTCTATGGAACTTGAAAGTTAAAAGTGCTTAGTTAGCTTTAGAGATGATCAAATTTACCAGTGGGAGGTTTTGATGGACATAGAAGTGTTAAAAATCAAGAGAAATACTTATAAGTACTGAATTTTGTCCATATTATCCTAAAACGGATTAGTATCATAAAATACTTGCACATAAATCATATTTGGCTTCAACT